TCCCCAGGCCAGATTCTGCACATTCTCTGCTCAGTGAAACTCATCTCATTTCTCCAGTCCATCATGTAACGTGCGGCGGATCCAAATCACTCATGAAGGAAGGTCCAAACGCTCGGTTTTGTCTTATTACAAATGACAAATTTGCATCATTTTTTTGTCAAAAGTAGGGCTGTGCAATGATTAATCGCATCCCAAATAAAATGTGTTATTTATATATAATATAAATTGGTAACACTTTACAATAAGGTTCATCAGTTAACATTAGTTAATGTATTTACTAACATGAACCATGAGCAATACATTTGTAACTATATTAGTTTAAAATACAGCTGTTCATGTTTGTTCATGTTAGTTCACAGTGCATTAACTAATGTTAACAAATACAACCTTTGATTTTAATAATGTATTACTAAATGTTGAAATTAATATTAATTAAGATAAATAAATGCTGTAGAAGTATTTTCATACTTAGTTCATAAGGTAGTTAACTAATGACCCTTACTGTAAAGTGTTACCTATAAATTATATATACAGTATATACATGCAAATATTTCTTAAACATACATACACGTGTGTGTATTTATATATACAAAATAATTATACACAGTACACACACGTATATGATGTAAACACAAACTTTTATTTTGGATGGGATTAATAGTTTCAGAGCCCTAATCAAAAGTGGAACTGAAGCTGAATTCTTCATGCATGTGTATTGAATGTTAAATAAGATAATGACAACGTCTCGGCTACGCATGTCTCGCGCGGTTGCGAAAAAATTCAACGTTGTCTGTTGATATATCGAAATCGTCTTCCATTGCGATTTCCTGTTTATCTAAATATGTTTAGATCTTCACAGTGAACGGTAATACTTCCGAAATCTCTGTGTAAACAATGAGTGACGTACGAGAGATCACTTCCAGACCGACGCGCCGGCGCCCTCAGATCACCTGGACGTGACTGTGATTACAAGAGGTAAAAACTATATAAATACTGTTCGTTTTCTCACACAAACCGCTCGTTTCGTGTCTTAGGCCATCAATGTGTGCTTACATTTACGAGTCATTAAATCATGTTTAATTTGGACTTCTCTGTGCATGCTCTTTGAGGTGGTGACCATAGACCTGCATTATATGACTGACAGACAAGAACGGTTTGACCTAAAAATATCAAAATTGAAACTACTGCGGACACAAAGACACCTACATCTCGGATGCCCTTGAGGTAAGCTAAAACATACCAAAAATTTATTTCAAAGTGAACTATCCCTTTAATGTCTCTTCTCATATATATCATAGTCATACACATCATATCTAGGCTGTATTATAAACTGTATAAAAGTTTATGGTAGGGGTGCAACGATACCCTCATGTCATGATTCGATACATATCGCGATACTGAACTCACGATAATATTTTTGCGATACTCCAAGACATATGATAAAAGGTTAACAATTTTTTTTACCATTGATTAAAATGCTGAATTTGGTTTTACATTGTGTGTGTAAATGAATATGATGGACTTGGTGCTGAAACCCAACACAGGACAATAGAGACGCCAGAATAACAATATTCATGATTCTGAAGCTGAAAACACTGAATTATTGTAGATGAATATGCTTGATCTCTGTCACTGACTGGATATATTTAATATAATAAAGGCCACTTTATACTGGTAACAAGACATCTGGCATTATCAGTCCCACAAATATACCCCCATTGCATTATTATACATTATATTCAACATCATATAGTAGTTTAATGTAGTACTGACACTACATTTTCATTTTGGATGAATTATACACAAAACATTGTCAGTATCCACGATACATATTGATGCATGTTTGTATTGTAATATATTGTGACACCCCTAGTTTGTGGTCATGTTGTTGTGGTCTGCATGAGGTTTGAGCGAGGTTATATCCCACACACACTGGAGCAGTGGGCCGAGGCACGGGAAGCATGTCTCTGAGAGGAGCTTCAGGCATGCGGCTCGGGTCCAGAACTCCCACCCCTGCTCCAGTCGCTGTATAAGCACATTCATGAGGACCGGAGGAGCCCACGGCACAGACACAGGCCCTCGTCTGTTCCAGCACAATCCCTGACTCCAACTACTGCAGTTCAACCGCAGCTGGAACATGCAGGACCATTACACAAGGCCAAACATTCAATAAACCGCCAAATCTTGGCCAAGAAAAAAGGTTTCTGCTTACATTTCTTGGCCAAGATTTGGTGGTTTATTAAATGTTTGGCCTTTTTTAATTTAACATTGCAGTCAAACTATTTTGCACAATTTTTGAGACTACATTCCTATGATAGATGATCCATGGCTACAGAAACGATAAAAACACTTTACGGTTCCTGTATTTTTAGTGTTTGGATGGAAACTCAGATGAGATGTGCTCAGAATCTAATGACACACACTCTGTGATTGTGGAGTGTGAATTACCGGAGCAAATACATATACTCGCACTCATTAAACATTAGTGAGAACTCATTGCCGAGGGTTTCATAAAGGGGGAGAACTGCATGTTTCTGATACATATTTATGGATTGATTCCCACCTCATCTGTGTGTGTGTGTGTGTGTGTGTGTGTGTGTGTGTCGTGGTGGAGGGATTTCCCTTGAGGTGATTTGAAAATTGTTTTTTTGTTTTTGCCAACATGACATCATGGCTTTGCGTAAACATACACGCCACTTTCAAGTCAAGTGGCGTGTTATCTATACGCATTTTGAGCTATCCGCGTGTATGTCCACGCCGAAACGAACCGTCATATTTTGCGTGTATGTCTACGCCGTTAAATGTCCGAGCGAAACGAAGCAAAATGTAGATCTACATCTGGGGAGCAATATTTTTTTCCCTAGGATGGTAGGGGAAGACTCATAAATGGTATTAACCCCAGTGACGGGTAGGTTTAGGGACGATGTTGGGGTAGGTCATATATTTATATATACAGTAATGTAACAGTCAACGGCGTTGATAAACACGCTGAAAAGCGATTGTGCGTGTTGATAGCACGCCAAAAATAGAAATACGAATTGGCGTGTCATACATACGCCATTTCATGAGATCAGTCTGTTTTTGCTGTATATATAAAAAAGTGTTAGATGCACTTTTATGATGGACAGATGCACTTTTATGATGGATAGATGCACTTTTATGATGGACAGATGCACTTTTATGATGGATAGATGCACTTTTATGATGGATAGATGCACTTTTATGATGGATAGATGCACTTTTATGATGGATAGATGCACTTTTATGATGGACAGATGCACTTTTATGATGGATAGATGCACTTTTATGATGGATAGATGCACTTTTATGATGGATAGATGCACTTTTATGATGGATAGATGCACTTTTATGATGGACAGATGCACTTTTATGATGGATAGATGCACTTTTATGATGGATAGATGTACTTTTATGATGGACAGATGCACTTTTATGATGGATAGATGCACTTTTATGAGGGATAGATGCACTTTTATGATGGATAGATGCACTTTTATGAGGGATAGATGCACTTTTATGATGGACAGATGCACTTTTATGATGGATAGTTGCACTTTTATGATGGATAGATGCACTTTTATGATGGATAGATGCACTTTTATGATGGACAGATGCACTTTTATGATGGATAGATGCACTTTTATGATGGATAGATGCACTTTTATGAGGGATAGATGCACTTTTATGATGGATAGATGCACTTTTATGAGGGATAGATGCACTTTTATGATGGATAGATGCACTTTTATGATGGATAGATGCACTTTTATGATGGATAGATGCACTTTTATGATGGATAGATGCACTTTTATGAGGGATAGATGCACTTTTATGAGGGATAGATGCACTTTTATAATGGATAGATGCACTTTTATGATGGACAGATGCACTTTTATGATGGATATATGCACTTTTATAATGGATAGATGCACTTTTATAATGGATAGATGCACTTTTATGATGGACAGATGCACTTTTATGATGGATATATGCACTTTTATAATGGATAGATGCACTTTTATGAGGGATAGATGCACTTTTATGATGGACAGATGTACTTTTATGATGGACAGATGCACTTTTATGATGGATAGATGCACTTTTATGATGGATAGATGCACTTTTATGAGGGATAGATGCACTTTTATGAGGGATAGATGCACTTTTATAATGGATAGATGCACTTTTATGATGGACAGATGCACTTTTATGATGGATATATGCACTTTTATGATGGATAGATGCACTTTTATGATGGATAGATGCACTTTTATGAGGGATAGATGCACTTTTATGAGGGATAGATGCACTTTTATAATGGATAGATGCACTTTTATGATGGACAGATGCACTTCTATGATGGATATATGCACTTTTATAATGGATAGATGCACTTTTATAATGGATAGATGCACTTTTATGATGGACAGATGCACTTTTATGATGGATATATGCACTTTTATAATGGATAGATGCACTTTTATGAGGGATAGATGCACTTTTATGATGGACAGATGTACTTTTATGATGGACAGATGCACTTTTATGATGGATAGATGCACTTTTATGAGGGATAGATGCACTTTTATGATGGATAGATGCACTTTTATGAGGGATAGATGCACTTTTATGATGGATAGATGCACTTTTATGATGGATAGATGCACTTTTATGATGGATAGATGCACTTTTATGATAGATAGATGCACTTTTATGATGGATAGATGCACTTTTATGAGGGATAGATGCACTTTTATGAGGGATAGATGCACTTTTATGAGGGATAGATGCACTTTTATGATGGATAGATGCACTTTTATGATGGATAGATGCACTTTTATGATGGATAGATGCACTTTTATGAGGGATAGATGCACTTTTATGAGGGATAGATGCACTTTTATGATGGACAGATGCACTTTTATGATGGATAGATGCACTTTTATGAGGGATAGATGCACTTTTATGAGGGATAGATGCACTTTTATGAGGGATAGATGCACTTTTATGATGGACAGATGCACTTTTATGATGGATAGATGCACTTTTATGATGTATAGATGTACTTTAATGTTGGATAGATGCACTTTTATGAGGGATAGATGCACTTTTATGAGGGATAGATGCACTTTTATGATGGATAGATGCACTTTTATGATGGATAGATGCACTTTTATGATGGATAGATGCACTTTAATGTTGGATAGATGCACTTTTATGAGGGATAGATGCACTTTTATGATGGATAGATGTACTTTTATGATGGATAGATGCACTTTTATGATGGATAGATGCACTTTTATGAGGGATAGATGCACTTTTATGAGGGATAGATGCACTTTTATGATGGACAGATGCACTTTTATGATGGATAGATGCACTTTTATGAGGGATAGATGCACTTTTATGAGGGATAGATGCACTTTTATGAGGGATAGATGCACTTTTATGATGGACAGATGCACTTTTATGATGGATAGATGCACTTTTATGAGGGATAGATGCACTCTTATCATAGATAGATGCACTTTTATGATGGATAGATGCACTTTTATTATAGATAGATGCACTTTTATGATGGACAGATGCACTTTTATGAGGGATAGATGCACTTTTATGATGGACAGATGCACTTTTATCATGGATAGATGCACTTTTATCATAGATAGATGCACTTTTATGATGGATAGATGCACTTTTATGTTGGATAGATGCACTTTTATAATGTATAGATGCACTTTTGATGCACTTTTATGATGGATAGATGCACTTTTATGATGGATAGATGCACTTTTGATGCACTTTTATGATGGATAGATGCACTTTTATGATGGATAGATGCACTTTTATAATGGATAGATGCACTTTTATAATGGATAGATGCACTTTTATGATGGATATATGCACTTTTATAATGGATAGATGCACTTTTATGATGGATAGATGCACTTTTATGATGGACAGATGCACTTTTATAATGGATAGATGCACTTTTATGATGGATAGATGCACTTTTATGATGGACAGATGCATTTTTATGATGATATATGCACTTTTATAATGGATAGATGCACTTTTATAATGGATAGATGCACTTTTATGATGGATAGATGCACTTTTATGATGGACAGATGCACTTTTATGATGGATATATGCACTTTTATAATGGATAGATGCACTTTTATGATGGATATATGCACTTTTATAATGGATAGATGCACTTTTATGATGGATAGATGCACTTTTATGAGGGATAGATGCACTTTTATAATGGATAAATGCACTTTTATAATGGATAGATGCACTTTTATGATGGATAGATGCACTTTTATAATGGATAGATGCACTTTTATGAGGGATAGATGCACTTTTATAATGGATAGATGCACTTTTATAATGGATAGATGCACTTTTATGATGGATAGATGCACTTTTATAATGGATAGATGCACTTTTATGATGGATAGATGCACTTTTATGATGGATAGATGCACTTTTATAATGGATAGATGCACTTTTATAATGGATAGATGCACTTTTATGATGGATAGATGCACTTTTATGATGGACAGATGCACTTTTATGATGGACAGATGCACTTTTGATGCACTTTAATGATGGATAGATACACTTTTATGATGGATAGATGCACTTTTATGATGGATAGATGCACTTTTATGAGGGATAGATGCACTTTTATAATGGATAGATGCACTTTTATGATGGACAGATGCACTTTTATGATGGACAGATGCACTTTTATGATGGATAGATGCACTTTTATGATGGATAGATGCACTTTTATGAGGGATAGATGCACTTTTATGATGGATAGATGCACTTTTATGAGGGATAGATGCACTTTTATGATGGATAGATGCACTTTTATGATGGATAGATGCACTTTTATGATGGATAGATGCACTTTTATGATGGATAGATGCACTTTTATGAGGGATAGATGCACTTTTATGAGGGATAGATGCACTTTTATAATGGATAGATGCACTTTTATGATGGACAGATGCACTTTTATGATGGATATATGCACTTTTATAATGGATAGATGCACTTTTATAATGGATAGATGCACTTTTATGATGGACAGATGCACTTTTATGATGGATATATGCACTTTTATAATGGATAGATGCACTTTTATGAGGGATAGATGCACTTTTATGATGGACAGATGTACTTTTATGATGGACAGATGCACTTTTATGATGGATAGATGCACTTTTATGATGGATAGATGCACTTTTATGAGGGATAGATGCACTTTTATGAGGGATAGATGCACTTTTATAATGGATAGATGCACTTTTATGATGGACAGATGCACTTTTATGATGGATATATGCACTTTTATGATGGATAGATGCACTTTTATGATGGATAGATGCACTTTTATGAGGGATAGATGCACTTTTATGAGGGATAGATGCACTTTTATAATGGATAGATGCACTTTTATGATGGACAGATGCACTTCTATGATGGATATATGCACTTTTATAATGGATAGATGCACTTTTATAATGGATAGATGCACTTTTATGATGGACAGATGCACTTTTATGATGGATATATGCACTTTTATAATGGATAGATGCACTTTTATGAGGGATAGATGCACTTTTATGATGGACAGATGTACTTTTATGATGGACAGATGCACTTTTATGATGGATAGATGCACTTTTATGATGGATAGATGCACTTTTATGAGGGATAGATGCACTTTTATGAGGGATAGATGCACTTTTATAATGGATAGATGCACTTTTATGATGGACAGATGCACTTTTATGATGGATATATGCACTTTTATGATGGATAGATGCACTTTTATGATGGATAGATGCACTTTTATGAGGGATAGATGCACTTTTATGAGGGATAGATGCACTTTTATAATGGATAGATGCACTTTTATGATGGACAGATGCACTTCTATGATGGATATATGCACTTTTATAATGGATAGATGCACTTTTATAATGGATAGATGCACTTTTATGATGGACAGATGCACTTTTATGATGGATATATGCACTTTTATAATGGATAGATGCACTTTTATGAGGGATAGATGCACTTTTATGATGGACAGATGTACTTTTATGATGGACAGATGCACTTTTATGATGGATAGATGCACTTTTATGAGGGATAGATGCACTTTTATGATGGATAGATGCACTTTTATGAGGGATAGATGCACTTTTATGATGGATAGATGCACTTTTATGATGGATAGATGCACTTTTATGATGGATAGATGCACTTTTATGATAGATAGATGCACTTTTATGATGGATAGATGCACTTTTATGAGGGATAGATGCACTTTTATGAGGGATAGATGCACTTTTATAATGGATAGATGCACTTTTATGATGGATAGATGCACTTTTATGATGGACAGATGCACTTTTATGATGGATATATGCACTTTTATAATGGATAGATGCACTTTTATAATGGATAGATGCACTTTTATGATGGATAGATGCACTTTTATGATGGACAGATGCACTTTTATGATGGATATATGCACTTTTATAATGGATAGATGCACTTTTATAATGGATAGATGCACTTTTATGATGGACAGATGCACTTTTATGATGGATATATGCACTTTTATAATGGATAGATGCACTTTTATGAGGGATAGATGCACTTTTATGATGGACAGATGTACTTTTATGATGGACAGATGCACTTTTATGATGGATAGATGCACTTTTATGAGGGATAGATGCACTTTTATGATGGATAGATGCACTTTTATGAGGGATAGATGCACTTTTATGATGGATAGATGCACTTTTATGATGGATAGATGCACTTTTATGATGGATAGATGCACTTTTATGATAGATAGATGCACTTTTATGATGGATAGATGCACTTTTATGAGGGATAGATGCACTTTTATGAGGGATAGATGCACTTTTATAATGGATAGATGCACTTTTATGATGGATAGATGCACTTTTATGATGGACAGATGCACTTTTATGATGGATATATGCACTTTTATAATGGATAGATGCACTTTTATAATGGATAGATGCACTTTTATGATGGATAGATGCACTTTTATGATGGACAGATGCACTTTTATGATGGATATATGCACTTTTATAATGGATAGATGCACTTTTATGATGGATAGATGCACTTTTATGATGGATAGATGCACTTTTATGAGGGATAGATGCACTTTTATGATGGATAGATGCACTTTTATGATGGATAGATGCACTTTTATGATGTATAGATGTACTTTAATGTTGGATAGATGCACTTTTATGAGGGATAGATGCACTTTTATGAGGGATAGATGCACTTTTATGATGGATAGATGCACTTTTATGATGGATAGATGCACTTTTATGATGGATAGATGCACTTTAATGTTGGATAGATGCACTTTTATGAGGGATAGATGCACTTTTATGATGGATAGATGCACTTTTATGATGGATAGATGCACTTTTATGATGGATAGATGCACTTTTATGAGGGATAGATGCACTTTTATGAGGGATAGATGCACTTTTATGATGGACAGATGCACTTTTATGATGGATAGATGCACTTTTATGAGGGATAGATGCACTTTTATGAGGGATAGATGCACTTTTATGAGGGATAGATGCACTTTTATGATGGACAGATGCACTTTTATGATGGATAGATGCACTTTTATGAGGGATAGATGCACTCTTATCATAGATAGATGCACTTTTATGATGGATAGATGCACTTTTATTATAGATAGATGCACTTTTATGATGGACAGATGCACTTTTATGAGGGATAGATGCACTTTTATGATGGACAGATGCACTTTTATCATGGATAGATGCACTTTTATCATAGATAGATGCACTTTTATGATGGATAGATGCACTTTTATGTTGGATAGATGCACTTTTATAATGTATAGATGCACTTTTGATGC